CATGCTCCCTTATCTGGATCCCACTTGGCGTCAAACCTTCGACCTCTCTATAACAGGAGGAAGCAGATTTGATTCGATTTTAATCTGAATGACACTCCGAAACACCGGTCCTCTTTTCGTAGGTTAATTGACGTATTTGAACGCAAGCTGTTTAAATACAATTGCTCCGTTGAGAAACAAGTCAGCTGGACTCCATGCACTCTGCCGTCTGGTGTTAGAGACGCAGAGCAGAGTGTCAGCTCACCCAACTGCTTTCACACCGTTTTTTCTGCGTGAAGCTCGTCCAACCCTCTTCTCACTGGTTATATAACCAATGATCTCCGTTTTTTTCTTACACTGTGTTTTTCGTTGATTTTTTCATCGTTAACTTGATATCACGGTACTATTTCAACCAGCCGTTGTGGAGAACACGGCAATCTGGAGGTACCTTGATGCATTGAAGGAATCTTCTCCAGTTGCCTTGGCTTCACTCAAACTGGCTTGGAATTCTCTATCTAAATAGTCGACAGAATTCGAAAACGAGATCTTAGCCGAAATCGTACTGGATACCAAAGGAATCGTGGCAGGCGTAGGCAGAGGCAGACGCACTCCATACCATACTTACAAGGGAAGGATCCCAAGTGAGGTGGCCATCGAATGCTAATTTCTCATTTGCATTTCAAGTTTGCCAGCAGATTCCCTGAATAGCGCTATGGAGGTGGTTTCAGATATGTGCTTAACATAAATGAATAGAAACAGCCGTCACTCTCACCACTGCTCCAAGCCTTTTCTGTGAGCGTAGTAACGAACTGGCCTGGATTAGTGGTGAGAGTGACGGTTCATGTACGTGAGTCGATGGATCGCGTTTCGTGAGGGGCGCGACTATTTTTTGGAAGACATTTCCGTCTAGAACGAAAAAATTCTTTGTACGTTGGTTTTACAGCCTGCAGCAACATTTTTGATGCTTGATGTGATCCGGTTCCTATCTACACCGTAAAATACCGTCCAATCCCCTTCCTTGTCCACACGATCCACCTCCAAAGAGGGATCCTCAAGACGCTCGAACACAGTAGAAATGGTCGTGTAAACAGCCTTTCTAGCACCAGCACTTTCATAGTTATGCTTTGCCTTTTCTTCAGAGGATTAGTGATATTCCGCCGAGGTCAGGAGCTGGGAGAAGGGAACGGTTCTGCGTGATCAATCCGCCGCAACTGTGTGAAGAACGCTAGAACTGTTATAACGAGGCAAATGGTCCGCGNCTGTCGCGGACCATTTGCCTCGTTATAACAGTTCTAGCGTTCTTCACACAGTTCAATCGCCATGCGATTATTACTTATAGCATGATTCTACTGTTAGTTCTTTTGTTCCTGTATTCCTTAATTGCTGCTGCAATCCGCTACAATCGTTCGCGCGCGACGTGGCTTTCGCCTACTGCTTCCTACTGCTCCTCACTCCCAGGAGTTGTTTGCGATGATCCTGTTCTGTTGCACATGTGTGCTACATTACAAAACGGATTCATAACTCCGTGAATGTGTTTCACAGTAACCCGAAGACGCACTCAAGCGCCTCCAAACATCCGTCATTTAGGAAGGTGGTGGGTCTTGCCCAATGGTGCTTAGTGGGTCACTTGGGGGGTTATGTGTCGCACGTTCCCGGGACGATAAAATCCTGCTCATTGCTACATTACCCCATGCTTGACAAAATAGCCCCGATAGAAACCCTGAGGCGCGTTCCCGAGAAGGTTTCCATGTGGAGAGTTCTGAGGTTTTCGGAGGTCTGTGTTTATTCCTGTATCCGTGATTTTGTCCATCTTTGTGTGTGTGACCAAAATTTCGAAAATCCTGTTACCGTACGCCTATTTGTCGAATTTGGTGGAATGACAGGCGGCAGGAAGGGTAGTAAATGGGGAAGACAATAGGGCACGGACAACCCGAACAAACTACACTCCTTTGCGCTGTTCACAGCAGCAGGTCAACCCAAAGGCGTACCGTAATATCTGTCCAATTTCCTTTGAGGTTGCGACACAGGCAGAAGTGCAATGCGAGAGTCTCAGCATGAGAGTCTTATGGTTCGAAGTATCCAGGTGTGTAATGTTAAAAATACTCCATCGCTTCACCTATCTATCTAACGTTTAGGAAGGGCTTGCTGATCAACGCATTTGGGCTGTTTTTTTTTNTTTTTTTTTGCAGATTTCTTTCAGCAGTTAAAATGTTCAGGAACAGGTTAGCGCTCACCCATGCTCTTCCCCCTGAACCTACCCCTGAACACTATGAACGCAGGGGGAACCAATTGATGCGTTGAAAAGCGAACTCGTCCTCATCTAAATAATAAATGGATCGCAGTGGAGTTTGCATTCACAATGGAATCAGCTTTACTGCACGTGCCAAACATTGTACGAGCGGCTGGTCGATTCGAGATCAAGGAATTTGTCCCGATCCCATGGGAACAGCTAAGATTTACGTCTACAGCGGACGTCCTTCTTCATAGGTAGGCAATCTACCCTTCCCCGTTTTGGAAAAGGTGTTACGACCGCTCCCCATGACTGGTACTTTTGAAAGCAATGAAAAAACGAGGCTACCAGAACACATTATATCCCGGGTCAAAGATATGTATGTAGGAATGGTCTGAAGCAGTGATGCGCACCCCTCATCCCCCAAACATCTCCTTCTAATAAGATTGAAGTTATGAATGTTGTTTGTATGTCAATACTTTATATACGCTTGGACACGTGTTTATTTCATTTCCAGCTCGTAGTACACATTGATGAGGTCACTTCCGTCATCCTGCTTAACCTTGGTCCAGTAGGGTAGCCGAGAGGTAGAGTCGAGTAGGGAAGCATTGAACAGTTCCACGCATTTAATAACGACCATTCCGAACCTGAAATCAAAGCGTGAATTACTCGTGGAACTAAGAGTGAGTGCCATTCAGATTTCCAATCTGCATTTCCGCTCCAAGGCTAACATATATCTATATCTACTTATATAGTCGGCTAAGAGTGTCTGTTGGTGTGTTTGTGTGTGTGTTTGTGTGTGTATGTATGTGTGTGTATGTGTGTGTATATGTGTATGTGTGTGTGTGTGTCTGACTGGAAATTCATAGCTCCTGTCCCCGTGGACCGAAAGCGTTCAAATTTTGCAGGAGTATAGGCGGCAGGATGGGAACACTTTTAGTGGGTGGCAGGACCGGACTACGCCTAAAAGGGGCGGGGTTTGTGAGAAATAAACGTTTGGGCGAAAATTCAGAACTCAGGTCCCCGTGATCCTAGAGCACTCAAACGTGGTAGGAGTATGGGCGGCAGGATAGGAACACTAGTGGTGGATGACTGGACCAGACTCCACCTACAATGGGCGGAGTTTGAGTGAAAATTCATAATTTTTGTCCCCGTGGACCTAAAACGTTCAAATTTGGTAGGAGTTATGGGAACAGGATGGGAACACTAATAATGGGTGTAAGGACCAGTCTCCGCCCAAAGGGGTGCGGGGATTGCGCAAAAATTGCCAATTTGGCTCTAAAGCGTTCACACTTGGTAGGAGCACAGGCGACAGGATGGGAACACTTAGTATAGATGGCAGGAAAGGACCACGCCCACAGGGGCGGGGTTTGCGCGAAAATTGACAATTTGACTACAGGGCGTCCAAAGTATTCCAATTGCAGAAAATTTCACGGAGGTACGCTTCCTCAGTCCATCTGTTCTTTTTTTCTCTGAACAGTCGCCTTTGTGATATTATACGATGTTCTTACAGGACACAGCGAAGATGGCTTACAGAAAAAATCGCTCCCAATTTCATACTCATACTCATACTGAAGGTGTAGAGCTCCCAAGGAAAAAAGAGAATCCGAAGAGTTATTTACGCATAGCAAATTTCTTACAGGAAGGAGGACCGCCCGGCGAAGCGGGGCAACACCATAAGAGGGGGGGGGGGGAAGCTCGGCGTTAGCGGGCGGCCCGACTGGTATCAATATAAACTCCACTTGCAATACATGTTAATTGTCGCCATAGATTTCTTGAACGCTCAATTTACATTAATTTTTGGGTATCTATTTTAATCGAGTAGCGAGTGTGATCGTCCAGAATGGGGCAAAAGAGGCGAAGAAAACGTAAAAATCGCTAAATTGAGAGAAATATTAGGCTTTAGAAAAGAAGCGAAAATTTGGAATGAACAAGCCTCTCGCGTAGTTACATGTTCATTTTAGAAGACCATTTTCAACGTGAATTTCATTTTTAAGGTGATCTTCGCCTTGAAGTTTTGAGAGTTCATTTTCCTTGAACAAATCCATCGATTACTCTTTAACGAGCAGGAAGACCGGACTAGAGATTCGGACGACTGTTGAGAGAGAATCATGGCGAGAATATGGCGTGGTCTGTTTGAACGGAAAATCGTTGAATACAGAATATAGTGGGGACTGCAAATTAGGGGCGGAACTAAACAGTTCCAATCCAGATCTCATTACAGGGCCTAGGACTGAGATACGGTTCGACATTCGGCCAGGCAACCAAGAGGCTGCACTTCTCACGAATTGATGGTGTACTTCGCCTGATAAATGGGTTTAGACACTGATGGGAGAACTGATGAAGAGGAGCTGATCGAAGAGACGAAAAGAGGAAGAAGGTGAAAGAGGAAATCTATCGCGGTCCTCAAATTGCATACATTTCTCAGCGAACAACTTCAATTCTACTCGTTTTGACAGGCAACCAAAGACCGTTGTTCACCTATTCTATGGTGATTAAGTGGTGTCAGATCTGGATGGAGGCATAGATATCCGAGTTCATCGGTTAGCCTACAAACGCACATTCATTCAACACCACTACTGAGATTGAAAATTGTGTCCAAGCGATTTTCAACGTGACAATTCGAAACCTGGATATTAAATTTTTGTTTTTCATTTAAAAAAAAACACGGAAATCTGGTTTTGAATAAGTCACTAAAAGCTTCCATTACCGTTTCTTGGTTTGGGGAAAATATTAATCTAGAAGTAATAATGACATTGACGCAAAACTCGATCTGCTCATTAGAAGTAGTTTTGAATCGTCTTCAATGCCTTCTCAATCATTTTTGTGAAAGTTCTTGACTAAGCCATTACGCAGGACATTCAGGTGCTCACTGTGATTAGGGGCCAATATGGGCAGCCTTTTTATTGATATCGACTCAAGAGTTAGAGGCCTCGTAGCCTCGACATCAAAATCCAAAAGTTTTTTCAATGAACGAGATCTCCGAATAGGTTTCAAGAGACGTGTCCGTTGGACCAAACTTGTGTCCGATCTCTCTGTCTGTCTGTCTGTCTGTCTGTCTGTCTGTCTGTCTCTCTCTTTCTGTCTGTCTGTCTGTCTGTCTGTCTGTCTGTCTGTCTGTCCGTCCGTCTGTCTGTCTGACTGTCTGTCTGTCCGAAGAAGATACAGTGGTGTTTGAACTAAACACGAGTTACAAATGTTGGATTGACATCCTCAGTCGTGTTATCATCCAACATTTGTTAGACGGCAAGTTTCAGAGCTGGTCATCTTTACGAAAGGTTTGTGCAGTCTTACCGTATTGTTTTTTGGCAAAGGTCTAACTCGACGATTCGACCTAGACCTTTTCCTCGATGTTCCTTCAGTACATAGAGCGCAGTGAGTTGACCTGCCTGTGATACCATTTCGAATGCAACCGGCTTGCCTTCATATCGAATGCAACTCGATGGAAAACAACTCAATTTGGACCTGGAATAATCGATCGGCCTACAGGAGTTTGACATAATTTCAAAGTGGAACACTT